GACCAAACCATAAAATTATTTTTGTTGCTACTTCATAACTGTAATATTGCTACTGTTATGAATCATAATGTAAATATCTTATATGCAGGATGGTCTTAGGTGACTCCTGTGAAAGGGTCGTTTGACTGCCAAATGGGGTCGCGACCCACAGGTTGAGAATCGCTGCTCTAAGGGTTCATCAACAACTGAATGGATAAAGAAAATGTGACTTGACCAGAGTGCCTTAGTTGTTGAGCATTAACCTGTGAGCCAGTTTGATTAGTTCCCTGTCTGGACACATATCCAGGCTGTGGGCTTGGTCCCCAGTGCAGGGTTGCGGGAGGCAGCCAATCAATGATTCTCATCACTGATGTTTCTAGGGTGTCCCAAAATTCACACAAGAAGTAATTTTGATAGAAAATACAGGTTTATAATTAAAAATTGTACATTTTTTATTGATTCATAACATATACAGCATAAGGTTATGTATGGAATAGTACATCGAGTAAATGGCCTCCACGGCTTTGCTGGCATATACACAAAGCCGTGGTCTTCATTGGTCTTCATTGTCCCTGCTCCTGGGCCATAATTGGTTCTTGGTAGTGCTTATCAAATTGAAGGGTTTGAAATCAAAGGGCAACAGATATTAGAATCTGATTCAATAAACCAAGTAAAATTAGGCTTTTATTTTTTGTTGTTGCTGTTGTTAATGCTCACGCAAAATTCAAATCTTGCATGAATTTTGGGACACCCTTTATCTCTCCTTTTCCCTTATTCTCTGAAATCAATAAAAATATGTGTTTGTTTGTTTTTTAAGAAAAAGTAGCATCCTCTATCTAATAAAGAGGGAATATGCAAATTGACCATCATGCTGTCACTCACATGGCGGCACTCACAGCAGAGGAGGGGGCGGAGGGAAGGTTTCCAAAACACAAGATAGCGGTGCCCACAGCAGAGGCAGAGTTTCCATAACTCAAGATGGCTGAACCCAGCAGAGGCCAATTCCCATAACGAGCCTTAACAATCAGCAGGGACCTGAGGCTGCACCCCCACCCAGAGGGGCTTGGCAGGGAACCTGAGGCCACTCCCCCAACTTGGCAGGGCTTGACAGGGACCTCAGGCTGTGCCCCTCACCCAGTGGAGCTTGATGGGGAATCTCATGCTATGCCCCCAACCAGGCAGTGCTTGCTGGGGCACCTCAATGCACGCCGCTTGCCCTGGAACCAGGCAAAGGGACCTCAGGCCACACCCCCTGCCCCAGCACTGGGCCAGAAGAACTGAGGATGCACTAGGGGACCTGAGGCTGGGCCTCCTGCCCAGCGGGGCTTGACAAGGGTGGGGCCAGCCAGGTCTGGATCTTGCCCAATGAGAGTGGGGCCAGCTGGGTCTGGGTCTCACAAGCTTTTGAGGCTCCATGAGTGGGCGAGGACTTGACTCTGGATCCTGCGGCATGCCCCAGACTCTGACAGGAGGAAGATTTTCATATATATTTTACTAATTTTTTTCATCTCTGACACTTCTATTATAGAGAAAGGGCAAATAGCAATATTAACATATTTCTCCTAATTAATCTCCTTTTAATGTGCACGAATTTCATGCATTGGGCCAATAGTACATATATAATAGAATATTACTTAGTCATAACACAAAAAGGAAATCTTGCCATTTGCAGCAATATGGATGGACATTAAGAACATATACTAATGCCAAGACCGGTTTGGCTCAGTGGATAGAGCATCGGCCTGCGGACTGAAAGGGCCTGGGTTCGATTCCCGGCTCGGG